TGTGGAATTTACCCCTCTAAACAGCTCACCCCTATCAAGAAAACTACGAACCATGCCAAGAAGCTCACTAGAGAGCATAGACCAAAACCTCTGAAAGAAGCAAATCAGAAAACAGTCAGGTCCTGGAGCCTTACCCCCCAACAAAGAAAAAACAACGACTTTCAACTCTTCCATTGACACCTCCAATACCAGATCAGCCATAGCCTCCTCTGATAAGGTTTTAAAAGGAATAAGATTCAAGCGAGGAGTAGCAAAGACACCATACGAAAAGGCCTTTCGGAAGTGTTCAACAATAGCTAAATTACGCTTATCCAAATCATCTTGAACTAGCCCTTCAATATGAATCTCTGAGATATAATTCTGTCTTCTACACGAACTAGCTATAGCATGAAAGAACAATTGTCCAAATCATCTTGAACTAGCTATAGCATGAAAGAACTTAGTATTCAAATCACCCTCCTTCAGCTACTTAATCTGAGACCTCTGCCTCCAATAAATGTCTTCAGAGATGCAAAACTCATTAAGTGAGTTAATTTTTTCCACTCGCTATTAGGTAAGCATTAGGGCATAGGATTCAACATACTATCTAGGATCGAAGAGCAATACCTCAATAGAAATCTCTCTCCAGAAGAGAAATTTCCGAGAAATCGTCTTCATGCCTCAAAATATTTGAAGCCGCTTTCTCATAAAAGTCCACTGAGCTGTTTTATTCTTTCTTAGGTGCCAGTTTCCCATGAAACACACATGTGAAAGCAGCTCGGTCAACAAAAATCTCTCCCCTAAAGAGAGATTTCCCACGAACCAAACATGCCATAGAAAACAAGAATTTATGCTTTGGGGAGCATTTTGGATATTCATTCTCTCCATGAAAGCCCTATCTAGCATCAATATTAGGATCTTATAATTTGGAATATAACCTCTTCAGGCTAGCAACTGACTTCAAAAATAAAAGAAGAAGAATCATATGCACTCAAAGAGTGCCTAAAAAGATAAATGTCATCATTTAATTGAATAGACATTATTGCAATTTTGGATGGTTAGATCCATGGATTTAAAAAATGGATCGGTGACCCGTATCCGTGCAAGTAAAAAATCAGACCGGATAGGTGAATCGTGGGTTCGAATCATTTTTTTACTGTGCAAAAAAAGAGTAATGATCCTATGAGACCCTCCCTCACCCATGTGTGTAGGACCCCAAAGGATCACCATTACATTTGGCACAAATCTTTAGAAAAGTTATCACATGTGTGTGGGACTGACTTTTCTAAAGATCTGTACCAAATTTAGTAGTGATCCTTTAGGGTCCTACACACATGGGTGTGGGAGGATCTCACAAGGTCATTTCCCGCAAAAAAATATATGAAAAAACAGTGAACCGGCCGAAAACATGTCAAGATTGGTGAATCGACAGTCTGGATCATCATTTTATTGTAGAGAATCATCGTTTAACTATGCAGAACCACTTGTTCCCTTCTAGACTCAGCCGTTTTCTATATGTACGCAAAACTAGAACAGAGTGACCGAATCTAGGTTCAGATTAGGCGATTCCGTACTGACTCGATATTTTTTAAATCACCAATTAGATCTAAATATTTAGGAACTCAAAATCCCTTGCTTTTGGTTTAGGATACTTGTCTACTACATCGATTCCAAAATTTCATGTAACATAAAGTGCAAGTTTTTACCTGGGGGAATAAATGTACAATAGACTCCTATGGAAGCATGGTATTCGTGATTTAGTCAAAATTATAAGGTATGGAAAATTAGTGTAAATTGGCCCATGTAGCATTGGCGGCATTACCTATAGTGGAAGTGCAAAGTGCGTCGCACATTTGCGTATTGACTTTTTCTATCTTTGTTTATAGGGTGCGTTGGCATGGAGCTGAGGTTCTAAACAATCAAAATAGATCTCATCTTTAAATAGTATCAAGAAATATGGTTTTAATATTAAAAATCTTTGTGATAGCCTTAAAATATAATTTTATTTCTAATTATAAAATTTAAAGCTTAAAAAATAGTGTAGATCAAGTAGATCTAAAAAAACTTGAAAAATCTTAAAAATTGACAGTCTAAAAATGCATTACAAGATGGACTATTTCCAAAACTTGAAATCCATTTTCTTCTCATGTATCTTGATATCAAGATGATGGAATTGAGGATATTTAGGCATCAAAACAACCTCATCTAGTAAAATTTTTGAGATAGGCTCTAATTTGGTCCTTTAGAGCCTCGGCTCTATGCAAACTTTTCCCCCTTGCTTATTACTAAACCTACCAATAAGACAAAAAAAACACTTTTTTAAAAAAAGGGTGCAATTGGCATACAGATACATCCCTAGCTACATTGGTAAGGTGCACCTTCAAATTGTATCATGGTAGATAATTTTGATGTAAAATATTCTTAGGATGATCTCAAAATCTATTTTTATATCTAATTATAAAATTGTAATTTTAAAAAATGGTTAAAATCAAGTAGATATATAAACATGTGAAAATCTTAAAAATGGACGGTATAGATAATATGTTGTAAAATGCACTATTTTTTAGACTTAAAATCTTTTTATTTTTCATTGTCATGTATCTTGATGTCGAGATGATCAATTAAAGGGTTTTTCAACATTAATACTACCTTTTCCGATGGATTTTTTAGGTGCATCCGTAGTTCTACATTATGAGGTTGCATCCTTATATAAACTTTTTCCTTCAAAAAATGAGGTTTCAAAAACATATTATTTTAAAATAAAAAAAAAATATACAGTTGACATCTTAATATGTAGAAGAAAAAAACACACTTTTCACAAAAATATGAGAATGAAAAAATATATTATTTTAAAATAAGAAAATTTTATGTAAGGTTGACACAGTAAAATGTAGAATTAAGGTGCACCTCTAAAATCGTTTGAAAAACGTTGTTCTAATGTTTGGAAAAACTTCTAATAGATCATCTCGACATTGAGATATATAGATATGAAGAAAGAAAAATTTTCAAGCCTTAAAAATAGTACATCTTGCAACACATCGCCCGAATTATTTGCTTTCAAGATTTTCTTGCATTTATAGACATACTTGATTTGAATTATTTTTAGAATTTAAAATTTTATAATTAAAGATAAAAATAGATTCTCGCACCATCTTAAAAATTTTCAACACCAAAATTGTATCTCACGACAAAATTTGAAAATACATCTTACCATGATTCTTTAAGGTCATAACCTTATGCAAACCATGCCCTTTAAATGGGAGAAATATATAATGAGACCACTTATTTTTTTGTACAAAGTGGTCACATTTAATCTTGACCACTGGATGTGAAATTAGATGGCTTCATTTATTCCAATGACAAAGCTCAAACTTCAAAAAAAAAAATCTCAAACTTTGTAACACACTCAATTTATCAGATTTCACATTAGATAGTTGTAACTAATTGTGACCTCTTTGTTTCAAAAAGATAGATGGTCTCATTATATACACTCCTTTTAAAAAGGTAAAAGTTTATATAGAGTCAAGGGTCCAAACAATCAAAATAAAGCGCAACCTAAAAAATTTCATTAGAAGAGGTTGTTTCGATGCCCAAATATCTTTAACTTCTTAACTTGATCATCTTGACATCAAGATGCATGGACATGAGAAAAAAAAATAGATTTCAAGGTTTGAAAATAGTGCATCTTATAATGCATTTTTGGACCGTCAATTTTCAAGATTGTCAAGTTTTCGTAGATCTGCTCGATTTACACTATTTTTCAAGCTTGAAAGTTTATAATTAGAGATGAAAATATATTTTAAGGCTATCACAAAGATTTCTAATATTGAAACCACATTTCTCGATACTATTTGAAGGTTGGCTTTACTTTGCTTGTTTCGAGCCTCGGCTCTATACAACCCGCACCCTTTGAAAAAAAAAAAAAAACACCCAGCGGCAAAAATAACACATAAACCATCATCCAAAATTAGAGAATGTGGCTTGGAAAAAAAAACTGCAATGATGCTTCGCAAATTTTGTTGGGAACTTTTCTTATTAAAATATATCTTCACCCACATTCGAGTAGTAAGCATCGCCAAGCGAAATGAGGTGAAAATGAAGCTTAGAGAGATTCCAAAAGGAAATATAGGCATCAAATATTTTCTCATGATTCAACGTAACCTTCGAAACTAAGACCTTTTCTTGAAAGAGAGAGATGAAAGCCAAAGAAACGGACACTACGTTTAATAATATTCTAATGGCCCTATTAAGATTCAAAAGTGTTTACCAATACTAGAAAATTCATGGGTAACCCTAATTGTCTTTTATGAACAGCTTGACCGTGCCAAAAGGGCCATTATGCTTTCTTTTAGTCAATGGACAACATCAGGTGGAATTAGATCCCTAATCAATTCTAGAGAGAGAGAAATATCTAGAGAGAGATTGTACAGAGAGAGTCGAAAAAGTGGGATTCCACAGAGGTGGTGACGGTTGGTCGTCATCGATAGGTAATTGGTGCCGCAGAAATATTCATGGAAATAATCTGGGCCGTTGATTGTGAGTACTTTTCTTAGAGAGAGAGAGTAGATGGGGTGAGGCGGTTGTATAAGAGGGAGGGGAATTTGAGGAAGAGTTTATCTGGAGAGAATAAAGAGAGAGACGGGAGGTGGGCACCGAACTCAAATAATGCATGCAAAAGGCCCCCAAAAGTTTGAAAAAGAGTTCAATGCTCTCCTAAATACTCTAAGAATAGTCGCCGCTCCACCATTCTACCCCCCATAAAACAGTCAAATAGTTAGATACACACGCCTTTGCCCCACTCTCTCTCTCTCTCTCTCTAATTAGGTACACAAATCTTTCTCTCTCTAAAATTAAGTATACAAATCTTTCTCTCTCTAAAATTATGTACACGCGCTTCCGATCTCTCTTTTTCTCTCTAAAATTAACGCTTTTGCTCCTATCTCTCTCTTTAAAACTAGATACACACAAATCTCTCTCTCTCTAGCCTCCTATCTCTCTCTCTAAAATTAAGTACACACGCTTCCGATTTCTCTCTCTAACATTAGCTACACACGCTTCCAATCTCTCTCTCTCTCTAGACTGAAAAGCGATTCACCAATCTCCTTCATTGTATCTGTGTTGAGCCGCATCCGCATCTCCATGCCGGGCCCACTTCCTTTGAGGAATCATAAAATGCCTCACCATTCCCCCTGCTCACCCTTGTAACAAAACCCACCAGATTAAAACTACTCCCATCGCTCTCTCTCTCTAACAAAGAACACCAAGGAACCATCTCTCTCTCTCTAACAAGAACACCAAAGAACGCACACTCTCTCTCTCTCTAACAAGAACACCAAAGAACACACTCTCTCTCTCAATTCTCAGAATCCGACGCACAAACCTAACCACTGGTGCCGATTCTCATACCAAAAGGCGCCCCAATTATAGACCCCTCTTTTCCTTACGCGGTGCTTCTTTCTCCCCACTATAAATCCCATCCCCTGGCCTCAAACCAACTTTCAACCATCCATCGAATAACCTTCTTTCTCTCTCTTCTTTCTCCCTCTATCTGTCATGGGCTCAGACCAGCTTGGAGCCCCTTCCACTAGAACCCTGCAGGCGGTGATCAGCTCACCCCACATAAGAAATAAGCGACTATGGCCCCTCTCCAAATGCTCAAAGGGGGGCGTGTCAGACCTTGTCCAAACCATCATCAAAAAACAAGACGCCAAAGACCCCTTCTACTTGATGGACATGGGATCCCTTGCCTCCTTATGGGACCGATGGCAAGAGGTCCTCCCCACCGTCCGACCATTCTACGCTGTCAAGTGCAATCCTGAGCCTGCCCTGCTCGGTGCCATGGCGGCCCTTGGTGCTGGCTTCGACTGTGCGTCCCGCGCCGAGATTGAGTCCGTCCTTGCCCAAGGCGTCTCCCCTGACCGCATTGTCTATGCCAACCCCTGCAAAGCCGAGACCCATATCAAATACGCGGCCAGCGTCGGAGTAAACCTCACCACCTACGACTCAAAAGACGAGGTTGAAAAATTACGCAGGCTCCACCCGAGATGCGCATTGTTATTGAGAGTGAAGCCGCCGGACGATGCCGGCGCACGGTGCCCATTGGGCCCAAAGTACGGCGCCCTCCCTGAGGAGGTCGTCCCACTTCTGCAGGCGGCCCGCAGCGCAGGCCTGTCCGTCACCGGCGTATCATTCCACGTCGGTAGCGGCGCAGCCCACGCACGGGCATACACTTCAGCCATTGCTGCCGCACGTGCAGTTTTCGATTCTGCCAGGCAATTGGGCTTGCCCAGCATGCGTATTCTAAACATCGGTGGCGGCTTCACCGCCGGAGAGCGGTTCGCCGAGGCAGCGGGCTTCATCCGCAATGCGCTGCGATCACATTTCACAGACCAAGTTACGGTGATCGCCGAACCGGGCCGCTTCTTCGCCGAAACGTGCTTCACCCTAGCAACCAACATAATTGGGAAGCGGGTGCGTGGTGAGCTGAGAGAATATTGGATAAGCGATGGGATTTATGGGTCCATGAATTGCTTGTTGTATGACCACGCCACCATCACTGCGTTGCCCCTGGCCTGCGCATCAGGGCGTGGAAACCCTAATTGCGTGGGCATGAGGAACTATCCGTCTACAGTGTTCGGCCCAACTTGTGATGCGTTGGATACGGTTTTGAAGGGCCATCATTTGCCCGAGCTGTATATTAATGACTGGCTCGTGTTTCCTAATATGGGCGCCTATACCGCATCGGCTGGGTCCAGTTTTAATGGGTTTAGCACGGCTGCTATTCCCACCTACCTCGCTTGCTCAAGTGCAACTTAAAGAGAGAGAGTCCTCATTTATGTTTCCTTAGAGAGAGAAAGAGAGGGGAAACTCCTTATTTCTATTTCTCTTTTGTGGTGTTGTCTGGTGTCTCTAGAAAAGATGGAGACGGCTCTTGTGTTTCTTTCGTTACTTTCTCTGAAGTGGCATTTGGTTAGTCCAGTCTTTTGTGCGTTATGGAAAATTGTCAGTAAAAGAAGGTATCCTTCTCTTTTTTGTCATTTTTTCTAATTCTCGGTCAAACTAAACACCTCATTGTCAAATGCTCTCACCCTTTTTATGGTGGCAATGGAGTCCGGGAATAGGTCCAAATTTTAGACTCGCATGCTATTCGGGTCTGAGTTTAGCCGGACCCAACCTATACCCATAGCCATAAGGTATATGATGGCAATCATGTGTCTTTAATCACACCATAGGTATTCACATTGTCACAATATTGGCAACATTTTACAACTCAAAAAATGCTCATAGCCACAGGATATATGATAGTGTAAAAATGACAAAAAAAAGAAAAAAAAAGAGAGCATATAGTTACAGAGTGACAATGGATCGGACTAGACTTGGGAACTTACAGGTTCAGGTCCAACTAAAGCCTGCCTAGGCCCGCCTAGCCTTGGTCCTGGCTTTTTTGGCCTATAAAGCCTGCTTAGGCTGGGTTCAGGGTCCAAAAAAAAAAAAAAGGTTAGGGCGGGCCGAATCAGGGCAGCACTCGCTTAGCCAAGCCTTGAGCCACATTTCATGGCCAAATGCCGCTAAGGTCTTAAATTTTTTTTTTTAAAGCAGGGCAGACCAAGCTTGAGCACCTTGTCTATTCATATTTCTCTCTCATACCCCTATATCCGTTTTTAGAAAAGAAAAGTGGGAACATTTGAGAGTTCGTGGATGAAAGGGGTAGGAAGAAATAAGAATCGGATTGCGTGCGGACCGCTGCATATATTGCTGAGCTTTATGTGTGCAGAGGGAATTTCTTTCGTGGTTGATAAGGTTACTGCTTATTCGAGACACAACAAAACCCCTAATAATAACAAGATGAAGGAAATCACTTCTTTTCCCATATATAGGAAAAACTTTATATAAGGTTTCTTTTTGGGTAAGTGACTTTATATAAGGTTGCTACTTTTAATGTAGAACTAAAGTTCACCTCAAAAATATATGAAAATGCTGTTTTGATTGTAAAAAACTCTCTAATGGATTCTCTTGATGTCGAGATGTATGAATATAGAAAGAAAAAAAAAAGTTGAGATTCAAAAATAGTGCATCTTATAACATATTATCTAGACCGTCTATTTTCAAGATTTTCATATATGTTTAGATCTACTTGGTTTGAACCATTTTTTAGAATTCAAAATTTTGTAATTAGATATAAAGTAGGATTCTTAGGTCATCCTAATAATTTTTTACACCAAAATTACATGTTAAGATAAAATTTAGAGGTGCACCTTAATTTGATTGTTTAAGATTGCGATGTTATGCAAACTGCACCCATATATATATATAT